CGGGTGAGGTTCGAACTCACGACCTTCAGATTTCTCCAAGTTGCGGATTATGAGAATGACGCACTGCCTACTGGGCTACCAAGGCTCGGGGGACGAAAGGAAATATTTTCATTGCAACGAAACTGTTTGTGTTATATCTTTTCAATCCACTTCCTACAAATACGGATTTGTGCACGTAACGGGACATTAAATGTTTTTTAGAAGACATTATCATCCTTCGTGATTATAGAGACACGGGATGTGAAAATCATTACAACGTAATGTAACTTACTATCTATGAGTTTCTTTTTCAATATTCTTTTGAAATAGGCCGTTCGGAAAGGTAATTTAAACATGAAGGAAAATGAACTAATTAACAGAAATTTTCAAATCCGTTAACCTCATTCAAAAAAATCCACTTGTCTCGAAAGAACCTTGTTATTTTTATATTCATAGAATTAATATTTATCTCTTTAATGCTTTTAAATTCTCTCTTAATTTTCAAAATCTTACAAGTTTCGAATTCTAGATGTACGTCTTGATAGGTGTCAATATCATCTGTTTCAAAAAGCAAAGTTCCACCGAGATTTGAACTCGGATCGCTGGATTCAGAGTTCTAACCATTACACTATGGAACCCCTATTTCCCATGTCGGGAATCGAACCCGGGCCGCCTGGGTGAAAGCCAGGAATCCTAACCACTAGAACACATGGGAAACCTTTGGAACGACCAAACAACGTCTCAATTCGAATTGTTCTTATCTTTGCACATCAGCATTATAATTGTTTTTATAAAAGTTTGGTTTTAATTCTTCTCGAAAGAAACATTTTTAAGTGGAATTTAAGGACGCATGGACTGAATAGAGAAACGTATGTTATTTTGCATGATTTCACTTTCTCTGGAAGCAGATGAAATTTACACAAATTTTAAATTTACGATAGAAAAAACATTTACAAATTTTCGCTTGGTACTGCGTTCATTCGAACAGGAATTAAATATACAAGCCTTTTTCACATTAAAAAATATCACTCTTATCAAGTATTCTTTCAGATTCCGGATTTGGATAAGCTCTTCCTCAGAGGTGACGGCACCCACATTATTGTCGTATCTAAAAGCAATAAAGGTTCCACCGAGATTTGAACTCGGATCGCTCGATTCAAAGTCCAGAGTGCTAACCGTTACACAATGGAACCCATACTTCCCATGCCGGGAATCGAACCCGAGCCGCCTGGGTGAGAGCCAGGAATCCTAACCACTAGACCACATGGGACTCCCTTCATGTACATTCGGATTTTTGTGAAAACGCAATGTCTTTATTTCTTTATCTAATTTTTTTAAACAGTTGAAGTATTTTTATCAAAAAACGTCACTTTTTTACTTCTAAAACAATGTTTACCGAAACAAATATTTTTTACACCATCTTTCCCGAAATATATAAGACTTTGAATTTTAAATAGAAAAGAACAGTCCATTGCTTAGAGTCGAATAATCAAAGGTGAATTGAATATTTCGATATAAAAAACATTTTTCAAATAGTAATTGCTCCAGACAGACGCTTCAATCTAAGACGGCTCCAAAACTGTAACAAAATGCCCCGGGTGAGGTTCGAACTCAGGACCTTCAGATTTCTCCAAGTTGCGGATTATGAGACTGACGCGCTGCCTACTGCGCTACCGAGGCTCGGGGGGCGAAAGGAAATATTTTCATTGCAACGAAACTGTTTGTGTAATATCTTTTTAATCCACTTCCTTGAAATACGGATTTGTGCACGTAGCGGGACATTAAATTTTTTTTAGAATACATTATCATCTTTCGTGATTATGGAGACACTGGATGTGAAAATCGTTACCACGTAATGTAACTTACGATCTATGCGTTTCTTTTTCAATATTCTTTTGAAATAGGTCGTTCGGAAAGGTAATTTAAGGGAACCGGGACGTCCTCGATGAAGCAAAACGAGCAAAATTTGGCTTTTCAAAAGAACATTATTTTCAAAAACAGAAAGACTTCGTAAATAAAAAAATTATGTCATACAACCTATATACTTTTCTTAATATACTACAACATAAAATTATTAATTTTTAAAATATTTTAAGAAATATAAGGATTCGAAAAAGTACACACCAAAAGGATTTTTCGTATACATGGTGTTCATTAGGTATATGTATCTTTATTTTTATAACATATAACACCACAAAACATGCTGCTTTAGTTACAAAATTGTACGTTTATTTAAATGCACTAAATAATTTTATACTACCTTGTTCAGAATTTTTAAAAAAAATTTTGAATTATGACTTTTTGAAATTTTGATAAAAATGTCATTTTTTTTTTTACAAATTCAACAATAAAAGTAAAAATACAAACATTTTAGGAAGGAAATTAGAAGCATTAAATGCATTATCATGATAGAAAAGATCATACCAAGTTTCAAAAAAATATAATAAATAGATTTTTCTACACATGTACCTAAAAACTGAAAAAACACGTTTTGAGAAAAATGGAAAAAACTAAATAAACTGGTACACTTACCTAAAATTTGACTTTTAGAACATTCCACAGCACTGTACTCATCTTGCATAGACTCTTCTAAGGAACCCTGCTTCCTTTTAATTTGCCGTTTAGTTGTCCTGGCTTCTTTGGTAGCTTTTTGGATACTCATCTCGGCTTCACAAATTCTGACGTAGTCAATTTTACGAAGGCCTCCACAAGTATTGATACCTGGATTTATTTGCAGTGCTTTTAATACTTCTGTTCTTGCGTATGCACCTTCATTGAAACATATAACTGCGTCCATAACACCCATTTGCAAAGTTTTTTTGCTCACAAATGTGTTTTTTGGCACACGATTCCACACACAGTTATTAAAGCTTTCGATGGGGTTTTGAGTTCGGCCATGCAGACATTTTAATAAAAGTTCTTTCGCAGTTAAATCTCTAAATATTTTTTTTAATTTTAAGAAGAACTGCTTCTGGGAGGGAATGTTTGTGGGTGTACTTTTCACTAGATACAAGGCTTTTGTTGTACCCGCACCAACTTTCTTCTCCCATAGGGCACAAACCATGTTGTGGATTTTTATCTGTCGACAGTTTATGGAAATATATTGCCCAGATGGATTTGGACATATCTGCGACTGATTTCCCAACATTTCTTCTTATGGCTAGGCCATAGTATTTTTGCAGCAAAAGAATTTCTGCATCTGTCAGCCTTCCTCGTCCAGATATTGCTTTATTGTCTGACAGCTTGGTGGATTTTAAACTGTTCTTTAGAGCTCTCAGTCTTGATCCCATCCTTTTTTGGACGTGGCCGATGCACTCCAATTTTTCAATCGGAACATCATCACCGTATATGTTGGACTCTTGAACCCTAAGAAACCCTTCGAATCTCCATCTCCAAGGTACTGAACATACCGAACATCTTAATTTGGTACTGAGCGATTGAAAATCCGCAATGCTCCTTCACTCTTCATTCCCGCACTAAATCCATGATAGTTTGCCTGCAATTATCACAGGTTTTGTTTTTGTTCTTACATTCAAAACAATATTTTGATAGGCACTCAAAATCAACAACTTTTCCGTTATCGAGAGAAGTTGCCGTAACAACGCCATTTTTTGACGTGTGTCCTCTTTTTTGCCAGGTCCCATCAAGAGCAATTGCTACGTCCTTATTGTTTTCGTTTGCAATAACAGCTTCATTAACGCTGCTAACCATTGAACGTGATGAAGCAGTTTCCAACGCATTAAAAAATGGCGTATAAAGTCTTTCAAATTTAGCTGGAGGAGGAGGCAAGTTCATCAGCGCACAAAATGTCTGAGCTGCACTTTTTCCAATTCCAATGCATCTCATACCATAAACAAACCTCAAATTTACTTCATATCCTGCTGGCACAGAATTTGAAGTCATTGAGCCATGACTAGAGCCACAATACTTGCAAGTTGCTGATATACTGCTAGCAAGTCCTCTGCGACTACTTTTATTTTCAGCAACATCAAAGCAGAAAGTCTATCGCAATATCTGCATTTTGCAATATTGTTGAAAATATCATTAAGCATATTTAAGTCAATAATAACAAACCTGCTTTGAGATTCAGCTGAAAAGTTATCTTCATAGTCAAAATATCCTTTAATCTTCTCAATCTTTTTTTTGGAAGAGCTGACATCACATTTTTCACTCATTACACATACTGAAGTTTTTTTACGAATCAGACGACGTTTCTGATATCCAAATTTCTTTGTTCGAGGCATTGCAAATATTTAAAATACTTACAAATCACAAACAAACAGAAAGTAAACAAGAAAAAGTAAATAAGCAGTGAAAATATGAAGTTCGTAACTCACGTGTTTGTATCTCAAGCATAAGGAAACAACATTCTTTAAATTTCGCACAGCTTGTGTTATAAACAAGATTGAGTTGAGTAGTTATATTCCTTCTCAAACCACAAGAATAAAATAAATATATCCAGATTAAGTGATATTAAAATACCAATCTACAATCTACATAAAAGCATATGTTTCGGTTACTGAAAGATGGGCGTGGCAGTTGATGTACGATAACGTAAACAACAGGTGTGGCAGCTGTTGTTTACATTTTAAAACCGCAATTACTCAGATATTAAGCTTTAAAAACTATGCATGTTATACATTTTTGGAATCAGCATTAACTCTACTTTTTTTTAAGATGAAAATTGAAAAATCGATTTTTTGAAGGTTTATCACCCTCGGTTCCCTTAAACATGAAGGAAACTGAACTAATCAACAGAAATTTTCAAATCAGTTAACCACATTTAAATAAATCCGTTTGTCTCGAAAGAACCTTGTTATTTTTATATTCATAGAATTAATATTTTTATCTTTAATGCTTTTAAATTCTCTCCTCCTGTTCAAACTCTTACAAGTTTCGAATTCTACATGTCCGTCTTGATAGGTGTCAATACCATCTGTTTCAAAAAGCAAGGTTCCACCGAAATTTGAACTCGGATCGCTGGATTCAGTGTTCTATTCATTAAACCATGGAACCCATATTTCCCATGCCGGGAATCGAACCCGGTCCGCCTGGGTGAAAGCCAAGAATCCTAACCACTAGACCACATGGGAGACTCCAGGAACAACCAAACAGCGTCTGAATTCGAATTGTTCTTATCTTTGCACATCAGCATTATAATTGTTTTTATAAAAGTTTGGTTTTAATTCTTCTCGAAAGAAACATTTTTAAGTGGAATTTGAGGGCGCATGGACTGAATAGAGAAACGTATTTTATTTTGCATGATTTCACTTTCTCTGGAAGCAGATGAAATTCACACAAACTTTAAATTTAAGATAGAAAAAACATTTACAAATTTTCGCTTGGTACTGCGTTCATTCGAACAGGAATTTACTCTACAAGCCTTTTTCACAATAAAAATATCAAGTTTAATTTCAGATTCCGGATTTGGATAAGCTCTTCCTCAGAAGTGACAACTCCCACATTATTGTAGTATCTAAAAGCAATAAAGGTTCCACCAAGATTTAAACTCGGATCGAAGGATTCAAAGTCCAGAGTGCTAACTGTTACACCACGGAACCCAAACTTCCCATGCCGGGATCGAACCCGAGCCGCCTGGGTGAGAGCCAGGAATCCTTACCACATGGGACTCCTTCAACTACATTCGGATTTTGTGAAAATGCAATGTCTTCATTCTTTGTCTAATTCTTTTAAACAATTGATGTACTTTTATCAAAAAACGTAACTTTTTTACTTTTAAAACAATATTTACCGAAACAAATATTTTTTACACCATCTTTCCCGAAATATATAAGACTTTGAATTTTAAAGAGAAAAGAACAGTCCATTGTGCTTAGAGTCGAATAAGGAAAGGTGAATTGAATATTTCGACATCAAAAACATATCTCAAATAGTAATTGCTCGAGACAGATGCTTCAAGCTAAGACGGCTCCAAACTGTAACAAAATGCCCCGGGAGAGGTTCGAACTCACGACATTCAGATTTATCCAAGTTGCGAAATATGAGACTGACGCGCTGCTACTGCTCTACCGAGGCTCGGGGACGAAAGAATATTTTCATTGCAACGAAACTGTTTGTGTTATACCTTTTCAATCCACTTCCTTGAAATACGGATTTGTGCATGTAGCGGGACATTAAATTTTTTTTAGAAGACATTATCATCCTTCGTGATTATAGAGACACTGGATGTGAATATAATTACAACGTAATGTAACTTACTATCTATGAGTTTCTTTTTCAATATTCTTTTGAAATAGGCCGTTCAGAAAGGTAATTTAAACATGAAGGAAAATGAACTAATTAACAGAAATTTTCAAGTCCGTTAAACTCATTTAAAAAAATCCGTTTGTCTCGAAAGAACTTTGTTATTTTTATATTCATAGAATTAATATTTTTATCTTTAATGCTTTTAAATACTCTCCTCCTTTTCAAACTCTTACAAGTTTCGAATTCTAGATGTACTTCTTGATAGGTGTCAATAACATCTGTTTCAAAAAGCAAGGTTCCACCGAGATTTGAACTCGGATCGCTGGATTCAGAGTCCAGAGTGCTAACCATTACACCATGGAACCCATATTTCCCATGCCGGGAATCGAACCCGGGCCGCCTGGGTGAAAGCCAGGAATCCTAACCACTAGACCATATGGGAGACTCTCGGAACGACCAAACAACGTCTCAAATCGAATTGTTCTTATCTTTGCACATCAGCATTATAATTATTTTTATAAAAGTTTGGTTTTATTTCTTCTGGAAAGAAAACTTTTTAAGTGGAATTTGAGAACGCATGGACTGAATAGAGAAACGTATATTATTTTGCATGATTTCACTTTCTCTGGAAGCAGATGAAATTCACACAAACTTAAATTTACAATAAAAAAATCTTTTACAAATTTTCGCTTCGTACTGCGTTCATTGGAACAGGAATTTACTATACAAGCCTTTTTCACATTAAAAAATATCACCCTTATCAAGTTTTTTTTCAGATTCCGGATTTGGATAAGCTCTTCCTCAGAGGTGACAACTCCCACATTATTGTCGTATCTAAAAGCAATAAAGGTTCCACCGAGATTTGAACTCGGAACGCTGGATTCAAAGTCCAGAATGCTAACCGTTACACCATGGAACCCAAACATCCCATGCCGGGAATCGAACCTGGGTGGAGCCTGGGTGAGAGCCAGGAATCCTTACCACTAGACCACATGGGACTCCCTTCCAGTACATTCGGATTTTTGTGAAAATGCAATGTCTTTATTTCTTTATCGATTTTTTTTAAACAGTTGAAGTATTTTTATCAAAAAACGTCACTTTTTTACTTTAAAACAATGTTTACCGAAACAAATATTTTTTACACCATCTTTCGCGAAATATATAAGACTTTGAATTTTAAAGAGAAAAGAACAGTCCATTGCTTAGAATCGAATAATCAAAGGTGAATTGAATATTTCGATATCAAAAACATTTCTCAAATAGTAATTGCTCTAGACAGACGCTTCAAGCTAAGACGGCTCCAAAACAGTAACAAAATGCCCCGGGTGAGGATCGAACTCACGACCTTCAGATTTCTCCAAGTTGCGGATTATGAGTCTGACGCGCTGCCTACTGCGCTACCGAGGCAAGGGGGACGAAAGGAAATATTTTCATTGCAACGAAACTGTTTGTGTTATATCTTTTATATCCACTTCCTACAAATACGGATTTGTGCATGTAGCGGGACATTAAATGTTTTTTAGAAGACATTATCATCCTTCGTGATTATAGAGACACTGGATGTGAAAATCGTTACAACGTAATGTAACTTACGATCTATGTGTTTCTTTTTCAATATTCTTTTGAAATAGGCCGTCCGGAAAGGTAATTTAAGCATGAAGGAAAATGAACTAATCAACAGAAATTTTCAAATCCGTTAACCTCATTTAAATAAATCCGTTTGTCTCGAAAGAACCTTGTTATTTTTATATTCATAGAATTAATATTTTTATCTTTAATGCTTTTAAATTCTCTCTTCCTTTTCAAACTCTTACAAGTTTGAATTCTACATGTACGTCTTGATAGGTGTCAATAACATCTGTTTCAAAAAGCAAGGTTCCACCGAGATTTGAACTCGGATCGCTGGAATCCGAGTACAGATTGCTAACCATTACACCATGGAACCCATATTTCCCATGCCGGGAATCGAACCCGCGCAGCCTGGGTGAAAGCCAGGAATCCTAACCACTAGACCACATGGGAGACTCTAGGAACGACCAAACAACGTCTCAAATCGAATTGTTCTTATCTTTGCACATCAGCATTATAATTGTTTTTATAAAAGTTTGGTTTTATTTCTTCTGGAAAGAACACTTTTTAAGTGGAATTTGAGAACGCATGGACTGAATAGAGAAACGTATATTATTTTGCATGATTTCACTTTCTCTGGAAGCAGATGAAATTCACACAAACTTTAAATTTACAATAGAGTGAGTGAGTGAATGAATATTAACGTCCCACTGTTCAGCTACACGAGGGCTTTTGGGGACGGTCAGCGTAATTTTGAACCATGGTCAAGTGACGCGGACGACACCTGAGCTGGCACCCCCCTCTCCTAACTACCACACCACACCAACGGGAGGACATTTGAGCTCTCGACAGATTTAACGTGCATCGCTCCCCTACACGGCGGATCTTTAGTGGTACTAGGATCGAACCCAAGACAAACTAGCCATGATCCGATGCCTAGACCACTCGGCCACGCGGCCACAAATTTACAATAGAAAATCATTTACAAATTTTCGCTTCGTACTGCGTTCATTGGAACAGAAATTTACTATACAAGCCTTTTTCACATTAAAAAATATCACCCTTATCAAGTTTTTTT